CAGTGGCCTCCAGGAGGCCCCCCGCCGCCCTCCTCCACCTGCAGGCCGGAATGCTGCCCCAGCAATGTGCTGCCCCAAGCACCTGCTTGTTTTGCTGGTGCCTAGAGCCAACCCTGCACAAGGCTTATGAAAGACTAGCCTGGAATTTTAACACATTTTTATTTTGCTTTTTATACAGACATGGTCTTTGCTGGGGGGAGGCAGGGCCTCCAGGAGGCCCCCCGCCGCCCTCCTCCACCTGCAGGCCGGAATGCTGCCCCAGCAATGTGCTGCCCCAAGCACCTGCTTGTTTTGCTGGTGCCTAGAGCCAACCCTGCACAAGGCTTATGAAAGACTAGCCTGGAATTTTAACACATTTTTATTTTGCTTTTTATACAGACATGGTCTTTGCTGGGGGGAGGCAGGAAACCCTTGAAAATGGGATCCATATTTTTAAATGCACTGCTGCGTTGTTGTTTTTGTGAAAATAGGTTCCATTTTATCTTTTTCTATATATCAATTATGCAAGAATAGATTAAAAAAAAGTTCTTAAATTATTCACAATTATTTATCAAGTAGCTTCTGCAAATCATGGTATGTAGTAGTTTCTTTAAAATGTCTGAATTTGGAGTTGTTTTCTTTGGATCTGTACGTCAGACTGCTTTCTGACTGGAGGAGCCATGATTTTTTGGAATCATCTTTTGGGTACAAGTAGTCAAGTTGATGAATTTTTAAATTCACTGCACAATCACCCAACAATAATTGAAAAGTGGTAAGGATTCCTGTTAAGCTTTTCTAGCATCTAATCTATAGCTTTAACTTTTTTGTATTTATAGTCAGTTAAAGCAAAAGTACTGTATTGGACTAGATGCCTGTAGCTTACTTTATTGATGATTTTGTGGCATGAGAGAGCTGACTTTCATTTATAAGTATGATATTTGAGCCAGTAATCTGTAAAAAGTAGTAAATAATAATGTGTTTTCATTTGTGTTCCATTTTCGGTGCCATCTAGAATCCCTGGAAATTATATCCACAGCAGCCAGCCACTCCAATAGTGCTATACGAAAAATGGTAAATGACTTTTGTGGGGAGGGTTTCCCTTTCTTAATCCTCTGTTCTTCGTACTGTATATTAAGTAGCATGTACAGCTAGGAAATTCTGTGAATTTTACCAGGTATGTGAAATGCAAATTTTTCAAAAGGTTGAACTTGCAAAATTTGGTTTCCCTTTTCCAAAATGCTGCTATTTTTATTACCCTCTTTACAGTCAGGTGGAATGCTTGATAAAATATGATATTGTAACTCAAGTTTGGGGGTGGAAATTGCAAATGCTGCATATTTTTCCTGGCTTGCCAGTCAGACGTTATATGGGTTACTTAACCTTTTTGTGCTTGTTTCTGCACCTGCAAAATGGAGAAATGCTTATCTCCCTTTCACAGATGCTGCGGTACATAAACTATTAAACATTCTGGACATGAAATAGCACTACATAAGTATATTTAAAAATACTTGTTGCATAATCTGTTTCTAGTAATCTAATTCATGCCTAAATATAAGAGAGTTCTGGCAACCGCTACCATCAGGTTGCACAAATTCTTTTAAAGCTAATATTTTTCAGACTTACATAAGCTTCACAAATACCTTTTTACACAAGCTTCACAAATACCTTTTTACACTGGTAAAATCACTTACGCTGCTTTATTTTAATTGAAAAGGAAAATCTGAAGAAGTTGATAGAGGTGTATGAGATGTTGGGAGAAGAGGAAGATATTGTTAACCCCTCAAATGAGCTGATAAAAGAAGGACAGATTCTTAAACTTGCTGCTCGTAATACATCAGCCCAAGAACGATACCTTTTCTTAGTAAGTATCAAGATGTGCATTTGGAGTGATATTAAGATCTTCTCAAATTTCACTCTTGCTTTCAGGCAACGCTTTGGAATCTTCTCTCTGTTTAAGTTACAAGGAAAATTTTACCATTAACTTCACCTGGGTCCAATATTTTACTCACAATGCCTGATGAAAGATGACAAGAATATGTGGTTTCAAATAGAATTAAACCAAGGTCCAGTAACACATCTCTGAGAAAATGCAGTATTAGTTTTTTTTAGTTGCTTATAGCTATCATGGAGACTATTGGTTTGTTGCTAGAGTCTAATACTATATTTGTGTTGCTTACATTTTGTAAACAGAAATATTTAAGATATTATTCTAATTAGATATTGGAATGTATTAATACATGACTATAGAGCAATAGATTAGCTAATCCAGCACTTTGAACATACAAGTATGTTACAGATATAGCGTATATTACATTTCTTTCAAAATCCTTGCAATATAATCAAATGGGTGTCACGGCCTAATAAGAATTTAGTACAACTGGGAAATTCATATCTTCTTTTCACATTCTCTCATTGCTTTACTTCATCACATTTCCTTGGTTCACATAGTCAGTGCTGTCTTTATTTAACACAGTTGGACTCCATCAATGATTCTTCATTAATTCCCTAGTAGAATGTTTATATAACTCGCTGCTTCTAGTGTAATTAAAATGGCAGATTCAAGCCCTGATCTGTGCCCTTTGCTATATGGGCCACTGGATGCTTCATGCTTTCTGGGTAGTAAAATATGTGATTTTTGAGGGACAGGTTTCTGCTCTCCTGTGTTCCTAGCCGAGTGATAAATAATTAGTACAAGTTCTGAATGGGGCTACACATCATATTAAAATGAGGGATGTGCATATTTACAGTAAGGGAGAGAAAAAGTTCAGATGTGCCATATCTGTGATATACACTTAGCTGGCATGAATGTGGCTTAGACCATCAAATGAATCGTATAGAATCCTTCACTAGCCATTGCATCTAAACCATAACGATTTTTTTCTTGACTGATTTTAAAGTGCGCCGCAGAGATGAGCAAGTCCCTAGTCAACAGGACTTATTAAGCTTTAAGAAATATTAAAAAGCTGTTAAATCATTTTAACGGGGTAGACTTTGCTTTTGTGAAATATTATTTATACGGTGAGTTTCTGATTTTAATAATTAATAGGAAAAAAATCCTGTTAACCATTATGGATCTGATTTCAGTCTTCATAAACACAAACTCATAGTAGTAGCGACATCCCTGGGCTGAAATTCTAGGCTGTTTAAAAATCATTAAAATCTACAAATTATAAATGACACTAATAATACCTAGTTCTTATACGGTGCTTTTCTTCAATTGACATTCTTTGCAAAGAGCTGTGATTTCTATTTCATCAGCATGTCCACTTTGGCTTCATACAATTTTTCTCTTTTGTGGGTATACATATTCTCAATGTAATTTGATTAAAAAAAAAAAGTACAGTGAAGAAAAAACAAATTATCACTGTATGAATTGGAAATTCCTTCCAAGTCAATTTGTTGCTCTTACAGTATAAAGATTAAGAAAAATCTGTTAACCCACTTGTTCAGTAGATTGAAACCAGCATGGAAAATTCTCCTCAGTAAAGGGCTTGCAGTGTTGTTAAGCATCTTGTCCACTCAGTGTATTTGATGTTAAATTACTGCATCTATGCTGTAGCTGGCTTTTAAATGTATCAGTAGTTGGCATTTAATTTCTAAATCCTATCCATGCTTTCAGTTGTTCCATTATGATTTTGATATTAACAACCCTAATCTCACACTCATTCAAGTTGTTTTTGTAACGTGATAACGCAATTAACCTCCTAACGTAGTGTACTTTATTTTCTTTGTTGTTCCTGATATGTTCATGGTTTTTTTTTTTTCAATAGTTCAACAACATGTTGCTGTATTGTGTACCCAAATTCAGTTTGGTGGGGTCAAAATACTCAGTTCGAACAAGAGTTGGTATTGATGGTATGAAGATTGTAGAAACACATAATGAAGAGTATCCATACACCTTCCAAGTGTCTGGAAAAGAACGAACATTGGAGTTGCAGGCCAGGTAAGCGAAATGTGCGCTACTTCTGAAGCACTAAAAATATATCAAAATAGAGGAGAATTGTTGGACTGGTTGATTTGGAGAACAGGTAAAGTGATCTGGAACTTTGCATTTGCAAATCATTAGTTTGAAAATTGCCCAGGTTAGTGTACCTACAAAATATCCTAACTGCTATTTCTCCTTTTTCAATGATTGATGACCTAGTTCCTTGTTAATAGATAAGCTTCCAGTTTTCATATATCACTGCCACATACAGCCTTTATTGACAGCCTCTGCAGAAAGGCCAATGATTAAACAAGTGTGCAGAAATGACCTTTTATCCTAAATAGTGGTGTCTGCAGTTCATAACAGCATACTGTCAAGGTTCTTGTGGTCGTCTTGTGCGTGTTGTCTATATTCTGGGAATAAACAAAGGCTTCATTGTAATTTACCTACCTAGCTTTATAGAAAAATCCTCTAATAGGAATTATAGCAGTGTTCTCTGTAAAAAATGTAACATATCTATATAAATTATCTTTAAAATGTAATTGAAAATTCTAATCTTGATACAGATTTTTAATTATCCAATATAATTACATGGTAGAGATACAATTTTCAATTATATTGGATGATTCAGTACCTATAGAAAAGTTATTATTCTATTAAATTTAAAAGATCTCTTCATAAAGGTAAATCTGTCTTTAATGTTTTGATTCAATAATAGATTTACTAGATGTCATACAGATCAGAAATTGTTGTGTGGTAGCAGAACACCATAGAACTTATCCACTTTATTCCACCTGGAGTTTATTAGCCAAAAGTTACTTAGTTTGCGGGAGGAAGCTTATCTAGTTTTTTGCAAACATATTGGCATGTGTTTCATAAAGTTCCTTCCAAATTGTAAAGTAATAGGTAAAATGCTATCCTAAACAGATCAATGAGACTAAACTCATCGTAATTGGTGCATAATTTACTCTTGTTGTATCATATCCATAAATCTCATCCTATAAAATTGTGGTCTCTCAGGTTAAATATTTAGTTAGCCTCGAGAATTCCCTTTTTCCAAGAATTTTACATATTTTCAGATTACTGATTCAGTACATTATAGTGTTTTGGTCACCCTCAAAAATAGATCATTTCCTACATGAAGGAATTATAAGTTACTTTAAAATAGATCATTTCCTACATGAAGGAATTACTTATAAGTTACTTGAGTTGATGGGCTAGGAAGAATTATTTTGTCTATTTAGCAGATTCATTTTTCCAATATTTACAGATGAAGGATGAGGAATAGGACTCTGTCCTTCTATTTTAGGATTCTAGTTCTATTGCAGGTTGCAGTAATATTACAAAATATATAAGCCTCACTGGGGGCTTTTCCATCTTATATAAGTATGTGGTCTTACCTGCACATCCCATCCTACATTTAGGAAAAAAATCTGTGTGTGGGGGGGAGGGAGGGGGTGCAGGGCATGGGCACTTCCTCCCTCACTTCGGTGAAGTGAGAAGCTTTAAATGAGTAGCAGAACAAAAAAACACTGTGGTGTTATTTCAAGTCATTTTCCCCTGATGGACAATTAATGAGAAATGTGGTTTGTGTTTACCCCATCACTAGATTATAATACAGGGGAGGTCTCCTGACATCAGTCCCCAAGCCCATCACCCGCTGCTGGCAGGCTGCCCCAGCAGGCAGTCTTGCCTCACCCTCTTCCCCTCCCCTCCCCCCCCAAACTGGCTTGGCTCAGGCCCTAATGCGGGGTGGTCTGCAAAGGGTGTGAATGCACCCTTTCCCTCTCTCTCTCCCCCCCCGAGCACTGATTCTGCTTGGCCTGGGGAAGGCAGGAGTGGTGCATTACACCAGCCTCCCTCCTCGCCATGCTGGGAGATGGCTGAGGCTGATTCCGATTCCCTTCCCTTCCCCAAGAGCAAGGCTAGGGATGGGGCTGGGCCACAGGGGCGGGGCAGCTACTAGCCCCGCCCATAGCTCGCACCCCTCTCCCCCCACAGAAATTTCTGTGTGTGGGCCTGGGGCTGCTTGCCCAGCTACTGTTGGCTCACTTGGTGGCCCATGCGCTGGCTCCTGCTATGGAACTCCATTCCTGTGCAGCCGGGAACAGCCGCAGGGCTGGGTCTTGGACCCTGGTCCCGTGTAGCCCCAACTGGGCTGCTGACTGTCCCACCCAACTTGCCCTCTTGCCCTTGGGCTTCTGGGCTTTCTGCTCCAGGAGCATCCGTGGTCCTACAGGAGCATCCGTGGTCCTACAGGACCATGGATTTTGCCAGGCCAGAGAGTCCCAGATTTTGGAGGAACAACCTGTAGTGCTTTTACTTGGGTACCAGGCCTATTTTCATAGGATTTGATGTTAGAGGCCTTCCTGAGATACTTTGGTGGAAAATGCTTACTATAAATCTTCTGTCCCAGTGAATAAAAGGGAACCTATATATGCTTTGTTTATGGAGTTAAAAGAAATTTCTATTAGATACTATCACCCTATTATTCAACCCATTTGGTTTCTACTCTTGTTTCTTTTAAGGTTATTTTAGGAAGAGAGCGGCAGGGAAAAATTGTCAGTATATCAAGATTGTGGTTCATTTACAGCATCTTAAACTTGCACTGAAATGTGCTTTTTATACATACTGTACTTTAAGAAAGTTTAGTGCTGGAAATGCCATTATTGTATAATATTTAAATATGCATTTAAGATTATAATTAAATTCAACTTCAAAGATAGTCTGTTAAATGTACCAAGCCTCAATCCATGATTCTGATGCAATTTTTAACTAGACAGTTTCACTAGCACTATTTTTTATAAATGTTGGAATCATTTTGAAGTGTCTCAGCTTCTGTTGTAAGTTAGTTTCATTAACCAACTACCATAGGCTAATGTTTCCTGTACTAGTTTTATAATAATATGTCAATGTTTGTTTTAGTTCTGAACAAGATAAGGAAGAATGGATAAAGGTAAACACATCTACATTTTGGCTTTTTTAAAAAATGCAAATTTTATTTTGGGGCTGTACTTGAGGTTGTTCAATGTAAATATTAACTTCTGATGTAATCAAATGCTGATCATATTAGTTCACGTTTCTGGTAACGTTAGTCAAAGTGCAATTTCAAAGAGTCTATTAAATATTGTATGTTTGCAACATTTATCTGTTGTATTTATAATAGGCTCTTCAGAATACCATAGAAGCTTTTCAGCAGAGGAATGAAACCTTCAGAAATGCCATTGCAAAAGAGTATGAGGACATGCCCATTGAAGTTTCTGTAAGTTGGGTTGTTGTAGCTTAATACAACTGGTGCCTTTTTTGTCCTTTTCCAGTTACAAATGGCATATTGCTGGAGTGTGTCAGAAGCTTCATATGCAGGCTTAAGATTCCTATGGAAATGCAATTACAAAGTAATCATTTTTCTGGTCAGCTATTTCCATTCATGATGCCAGACCATGCCTTATAAACAATCCTGTTCTTTCTAGAATGAATGGTGGAGCGTCCTTTCAGCCATGTGTTATAATTTTTGACTAGATTCTTTGTTAGTTATCTTTCCCATAGATTTCAAAACATAGCTTGAGCTGTGCTTTGCCATTTCCTTTCCAGAGGAAGAGAATAATTATTTTATCTACCAAAAATACTGCACAATTGGCCTTCTTTTCCCTCTTCAGAGTGCTGAGCTTGGGAAGAGAGCACCAAGATGGATCCGAGACAATGAAGTAACAATGTGCATGAAATGCAAAGAGCCCTTCAATGCACTGACAAGGAGAAGGCATCATTGTCGAGCATGTGGGCATGTAAGTGCAAAGACACATTTGCTAGCTTGGAACCAAACAGCAGAACAGATCTAACTAACTATTTAGAAGCTTCAGAGGGGTAGCCGAGTTAGTCTGTACAGGATAAACTTAAAAAACAACCAATAGTCCGGTAGCACGTTAAAGACTAATAAAACATGTAGATGATACCATCAACATGTTTTGTTAGTTTTTTAAAGTGCTACCATACTGTCTGGGGTGTTTTTTTTAAAGCTTAACTGTTAAGAGACCCCCATCTAGTGGCTGATGGTTGTTCATGTTACTGCAGCAAAGACTTCAGCTGTGACTTTTTGGGGTTTGTGAGAAGCAGCACCATTAGGTGAGCCAAAAAGGAGAAAAAGATGGGCAAAATTTACCACGTATTCTTAGCAAAGATAGGTATTTGTGTAAGATTTGCAAACTGCCTAAAATATTAGGCTATACAACATGAACTATTACCTATTTACTCACCTTGGGTATGTCTACACTTGCACCCTAGTTTGAACTAGGGATGCAAATGTAGGCATTCAAAATAGTCAATGAAGCGGGGATTTAAATATCCTATGCTTCATTAGCATAATCTCGGCCACGCGCTATTCTGAACGCCAGCTGATTCGACAGTGAAAGTGCACTCTGGGCCCCGTTAGTTCAAATCAAACCCCTTGGTTTGAACTAACGGGACCCGGAGCGCACTTTCACTTTCGAATCAGCTGACGATAGGAATAGTGTGCAGCTGAGATTATGTTAATGAAGCGCGGGATATTTAAATCCCGGCTTCATTGACTATTTCGAATGCCTACATTTGCATCCGTAGTTTGAACTAGGGTGCAAGTGTAGACATATCCCTTAGGACTCACTATAAATAGAAGAAAAATACCTCCCAACAAGTCATTTCTTTTTCCAGTAAAAGTTGGTGCAACTTCTTATTTAATAATATTTTTTTTTTAAAAAAAAGGTTGTCATCTTGGAGATTATCCTTGATGAGTTGCTTGGCCTACAGTTACATGTCTTTACTACACGCTTAGCTTTACTTTTCTGCTTTGTACTATGCTTCAGGCATTTTTTCATTAGCTCTTTATGGTTAGCACTAAGTCTTCTAAGCTAGAGGAAGCAATCCAAAGAACTATTAGAAGTGCCCACTTATACTTATGAAGACAATTCTTTCTCCTTCTACATGGTTGGTGATTCAAGGAATTCTTAATGGATTCCTTATTGTATTATCTTCAGTGTGTGTCCCTCCATTTAATTGTTTTGTGAGGATATAAATAGTATTTTAAAGGCTGATTGAGTTTGATGCCAGATATCTTTTCTAGAAGTTAGTCAGTTTTGCTCACTTAGTCTTCAACCAAAATCCATAATGAAAATTATGTGATTTAGATTAGTATGGGTCGGACTCAATGAAAACTAACATCTGTTTTGATGGTGTATCAGAGTGCTTCAATTCCACTTGTGTACTGTTCTAGTTAGCTACTTTCAACAACCATAAAAACAGTTATTTTTATTCTCTTCCATTTTTCATTCTTGGCGTCTTCTCCTCGGAGGAATATTTGCTGTTGAAAAATATTTATAATAAGAGGCCATCCTCCCACGCTATTTAGGAGTCTAGATTTCTTATTTTATGCTATTTAAAGAAAAATGTTCACTGTCAGAATATAACATCAGACTATTACATCAGTTCCTCACTTGGGATTTTTTTTTAAGTAGGAAGCTGTGTGCTTAGATTTAATAAAGTTAAAAGATGTTTGTTTCGTAGAATCATAGAACACTAGAACTGGAAGGGACCTTGAGAGATCATCAAGTCCAGTCCCCTTCCCTCATGGCAGCACCCAGTACCATCTAGACCAGGAGTGGGCAAACGGGCTTCCGTGGGCCGGATTCGGCCCGCCAAGTGGTGTGATCCAGCCCACGGAGGCCCTGCTGCTCCCCTGTCCCCAGGCCAGTTAGGACCTAGGAGCGGAGGAGCACGCGCAATTTCCTCCCTGGCAGGACCATGCAGCACTTTGAAGTGCCATGCGCTCCTTGCAGGGCAGGAGGAGACATCATGCACTCCCGCACCCCAAAGCCCTGGGGGGCGGGAGGAGCACGCAAAGTTTCTTCCGCCATCCCCCCGCCCTACCTGCCCCCAGGCCCTGATCGGCCTGGGGGCAGGGGGAGTGCATAAAGCCTCCTCCCGCCCTGCGGGGGCAGCCCGAAAGCATTCTGGCCCCCACCTCCTCCAGGGCAGCACAGAAGCTTCAAAATTTTTGAAGTGGCCCCTGGCCAAAAATTATTGCCCACCCTGATCTAGACCATCCCTGATAGATGTCTATCTAACCTGCTCTTAAAGATCTCCAGAGATGGAGATTCCACAACCTCCCTAGGCAACTTATTCTAGTGTTTAACCACCGTGACAATTAGGAAGTTTTTCCTAATGTCCAACCTAAACCTCCCTTGCTGCAGTTTAAGCCCATTGCTTCTTATCCTATTCTCAGAGGCCAAGGAGAACAATTTTTCTTCCTGCTCCTTGTTACACCTTTTAGATACCTGAAAACTGCTCTCATGTCCCGTCTCAGTCTTCCCCTTTCCAAATTAAAGAAGCCCAATTCTTTCAGCCTTCCTTCATAGGTCATGTTCTCTAGACCTTTAATCATTTTTTGTTGCTCTTTTCTGGACCTTCTCCAATTTCTCCACATCTTTCTTGAAATGCAGTGCCCAGAACTGAACACAATACTCCACTACCCTACGTTTCCTCCCCGCCGTGGTGGCAGCAGACCTCCCAGCCTTGGGGGTATGAGGCTTCTCCTCCTCAGCTGTAGGGGCTGATTCCTTATCTCCTGTATCAAGAGCATAACGGTTTCCCAGTACGACAGTAAGAGGGTTGGGGGCAGGGTGGAGCACTGCCTGCTGCGAGAAATGACCAGCTGCCAGTGTCCCCCCTGAGCTATCTCGTCCACCAGTGGTGTGTCAGCAGTCTTGTGGAGTAGGACTGCTACCTCAGCTGTCTTGACATGAATAATAAATAAAGCAATTCAAAGGTTCAAATAAAGCAATTTATTTTACAAAACACAGTGTGATTTCATGTTGATTGGAGTGTGTAGAGCTATTGCCCTCCACCCACAGCCCAATCAACATTCAGCTGTAGCCTGTGATAGCCTCAGAGTGAAAACAGGTAGTGCGTATATAATGTGTGGATGCAGCCCATGTAACAGTGAAGGCTGTGTATGTGGCTTACAATAGTAAATAGATGTATCCCTGGCATAGAAAGGGAAATAGTAAGCGTACCTCTTCAGTTTTTCTTCCAGGGAAAGGACCATGAGACTGAGTGAATATATCTTATACTCAAACTGTCATTAATATTGATGTGAAGATACAATTTTGAAATTCCAATTTATTTCAGTGGAACTTAAACATGTGCTTAACTTTAAAGCTCATTGTTTAAGCACCCATCCTTAACAAGGGTGATTTTTCTGAATCAGGGCCTAAATTGTAGAACAGTTAAAAGAATCCTAATACTGATTTTTTTTTTTTAAGTCCAGCAATTTGAAAGGTAAAAAGCACTCTTATTTGAGTAACAGTGATATAGCTGGAAATGGAGTGGCTTTTAAATTACAATTGGTACGCGAGAGAGCCCTGCCAATGTCAGAAGACAGTATTTACCCCTCAGTTGAGTTACATCTTAGTAGATTTTAATTGATAAATTTGATTTTGCTAGTAATTTTACTTGCTTAAAATTTTGGTTTTTTTTTCTTGAGGTGGTTTGCTGGAAATGCTCTGATTATAAAGCTCATCTTGAATATGATGGCAATAAAATGAACAAAGTTTGTAAAGACTGCTATCAGATTATAATGGGTTGCACAGAGAGTGAAGAAAAGAAGAAGAAAGGCATCTTGGAGGTATGTTCTCCCTAAAGGGTGCCTGGGGGGGGGGTTGGAGGCTCAAGGCTTGGGGCAGTCTTGGATAGGAGGGGGAAGGACTGTGCACTCTCAGCCGTCCCTTTTCACCTGCCTAGTGATTCTGTCTCTTTTCTGTTTGGTTTTGAGAGAAGCAATCCCATTCCAGGCACATCCCATGTTCCTGGCACAATCAAACCCTTGAACAGACAGACAGATGGATAAACTCTCTCAAATATATACTATGTGGTCAAGACAGTTTTTATTAAATTGCTATTTGTGAGAAATGCATTAGTCCCAAATTCATGCAAATAAAATCTTAACACTACACAATTGTGCATGTTCTCCCTCTACAGATTCCCAAGATGCCTTGAGTCCAAGTAATAGGTCTTAATTGTCAGTCTTCTCCCATTAATGTATTTACTGATTTCTTATGGGTTTATGCAGGGGTATGGTTTCATTTCAATATGATCATGAAAATGCATTTCTGTTGGATGCTTTCATAGGATGCTAAAATAGAAGAGTAATTGTGGTGGGTTGCTGGTACGATTTGGATGCTTCATGGTAGGCATGCTAGAAATAAGAGATTATTTAAATATTAAATAACTCAGCAACTACACATTGGTGAAGGTAGGTTAAGATTGAGTCTGCCACCTACACTTGAAATTTTTTGGAGAAAGCAAGGCAGATTGGGCATAACTAAGGGGCAGAGGCTGAAATATATATATGAATATATGAGATACGTTTTTATTTTTCATGCACTCAGTCCTGAGGCTTTTATGCAGTCTTCAATCAGGCAAACTTCCATGATCTTCAGCAGACATTTGTGGAGGTTTTAAACTTTTAAAACATCCCTCTGAGAAGCTTCCATGGATTGTTATAAATGGTGTTAAATTTAATTTGTCTGCTTCAGTCTTCTCAATATCATGAAAACTCTAATTTTTCTTAAAAATTTTCCTTCTGACATCGTTGTATTGTTCCCCACAGATAGAATCAGCTGAAGTCTCTGGAAACAGTGTCATTTGCAGCTTTCTTCAATATATGGAAAAATCAAAGCCTTGGCAGAAAGCTTGGTGTGTTATTCCTAAACATGAAGCTCTTGTGCTGTACATGTATGGTGCTCCACAGGTATGTAGAGAGGAAATGGAGAAAAAACATAGGAAATCCTTCACCCTCCACTACCCTCTGCCCCATTGTAGCATCTGTGGAAAGACATGTAATGTGAGATTAAGGAAAAATCTGTATACATAGTGGTGTTATAATCATGTAATTCCCAGGCTATTAGAGACACAAAATGAGTAAATTAGTATCTTTTTATTAGTCCAACTTTTGTTGGTGAGAGAGACAAAAGTTTTAGCTTATACAGGCAGTCCCCGGGTTACGTACAAGATAGGGACTGTAGGTTTGTTCTTAAGTTGAATCTGTATGTAAGTCGGAACTGGCGTCCAGATTCAGCCGCTGCTGAAACTGA